AAACACTTCCTCTTCTTTGTTCATCTAATCATGTCGTGTACTCGTGTTTATAGAGTTGAATTTACTCCCCTCAGATGTTTTTCTTCTTCTAAGGTGTGTTTGATGGTAGTAAGAAAAATAAAATCACACAAATTTTTTCGAGTCCTCCCAATGAAATGGGTCTTATAGACTTTGTGTGTGCTTGGAAAATGACATTAAAAATTTAAAAAAACTAAAGATTTAAAATTTAAGGTTTAAAACATAACTTTAAAATTACAAATATAAATTTTAAAAATAAAAACTAAAAATTAAAGTTTAGAAACTCAAAATTTAAAATTTAAAAAAAAATTATAAATTATAAATTTAAACAAAAAATAAGGTTTAAAATTTAAAAGTAAAATTTAAAACAAAAAAATTAAAACATATAATTTTAAATATAAATATTACGGAGTAAAAGTTAAAAATTAAAAGTAAATAAATTTAAATTAAAATTTAAAACGTACAAAAATCAAAATAAAAACTGTAAAATTATAAAACATAAAAATTAAAAAAATCAAAACTTTAAAATTAAGAATTTAAACTCAATATTAAAAATTATTATTTTAAAATTAAAAATTAGAAATAAAAATTATATGATTAAAATTTAAAAGTAGAAATTATTATTTTCAAATTTAAAATTTAAATTAAAATTCAGTATTTGAAATTTTAATTAAAACTAAAAATTAAAAACTAAACATTAAAATGCTCGACCGTTCTGTAGCGACGGTCGACCGTTCCGGAACTTCGCAGCAGCAGCGGGTGACGATCGATGGACGCGATGTCGGCCGATCGTGAACAGTAGTCGCGAAAAATTTCTAGGGTTTAGGCTCCGATACCATGAAAGAATTAAGAATTGGGAGAAAAATCTCTTGTATTTCTTGTGTTTATAATTTACAAAGAAGACCTATATATAGGTTCTCACAGGCTGAGAATCCTAATCAACAAAGGAAACAAATCCCTATATAAGGGAACTACCAAAAACAATATATACGAAAATATATCATGAGCTTTTGTATAACTTGTTTTATTTTTTCCTCTACGGAGTACTGCGTATAATATAAATATTTTATCATTTTTGTATATGGAAATGTAGCAAGCTAACGTGTCAAAATTTTGGACGAGTTTGAGCCAGATGTTTTGTTAGTATATATGCGTGGTTTAAATTTTGTTATTGATTAAAAGCCGAGTTCAGGTTTTGGGTGTAAAGTCGGATTCGGGTCGGTTCAGATTTCGAGTTTAAAAGTCAAGTTTGGGTTTCAGCTTTAAAAGTCGGATCGGGTTTAAGTATAATACTATCCGAACCGAACCAGACTCGTTGTCATTCCTAGCTAGAAGCGAGAGGAGAGAGACGGAGAAATTCTAAAATATGATCTTCATTTTCCTTTTGACAAAACCTTGTTTGAACTCTCATTTTCACTTGAATTAAGCTATTTCTACTTCAAAGGTTGTATATCATAGGTGCGCAGTGTCATTTTGTGCTAGTGTAATGGTTCACACAAGCACAAAAATATTAGTGTAAATTTTATTAATTGTACTAACATGTTATAATAGTGTAAATCCTCAAAAAGTTAGTGCTTATTTTTAGTATATACTTTAAGATACATTCCTTAGTGTAACTCTATGATTATTTTCAGTTTGGATTATGCTATGTGTACCCCAATTTATACCCCGCAGTTTTGCACCAACACTTTGTGTTGATGTAAAACTAATTTTTGTTAAACGCACCAACATTTGTGTTCGTGTGAATTTTT